TATGCCTACGGAATATTTCTAAATCGAAGAACCACTTCTATTTCCTATCTATTTAATCAGCTTTTAGCTAATCCTCAAGTCACGACATTATATAATTATTATTATTTGCAAACTCTATACGAGAACTTCCAGTCACATGCACACGCACATGCGCACCCTAATCCACTTATGCAATAAAAGCAAAAGCATAAACAAATGCAAACTAAGTATATTAGTGTCCACCAGCTGCTCGCTCGCGTCCGTCTGTTACAAATAATTAAAATTCTTATCTTCCTAGCACAAACAAATCACCAATAAAGCACGATTGTCAACCAAAACAAGTCGGGGCAACCAAGTTTCGCCGGTTTCGGCGGTAAGCAGCGGCACGACTGTAATTTTCGGAAATTACTCCACACACACGCGTATGTGTGTATGTTGGTGATCCAATCGCTGTTTAATGGGCCTATTAGAAATGGCTTGAACGTCACAGCTAACATTTGTCACTTCGCAGCGAGCTGTCACTTCGATTTACCACTTCGTCGTACGCATACTACCAATAACGGACCAATAAGCGTAGCTGACAAAACTGTTTAACCCCAGCAAAGAGCAAACGCCCTCATTAGAAGTCTTTCAACGCGTGTTTGTTTCTTTTTTTTTTACTTTCTCACACGCATTGTCTTCATAGAACAAAGTAAGCGCGCAAATTCGATTGTGTTTGCATTAGGGGGGTACTTAAATTTTCCAAAAATTGTATAGGAAATCGTTCTAACCTCAAATATTATGTACACATTGGAATACAAGTAAGACCCCGCTTAGGGCGTAGAATTCGTTCCATCAAAGTGGATCGTAATTCAAAACAGCGCTTAACAAGACTATCTTAACATGTAAAGAATGGGGTTAGGGGAAGATGGATAGAAAATTGGTTAGATATTAAATTAAATATTTATGTTTCAAAAAATAAAACCGAGCATTAATTTAATACAAAAATAAAAACAATATAAACGAATATACAAAAACAATTATAAGTCCGTCAGATCAGTCAGTCTATTTTATGTTTCCAATTTTCGGCCTTTTCGTCAAGAAGCCGTGTAATGTAGTTTGCATTGATATGTGGATAAAGCATCTATAGCAACTTTTCGTCATTTATCTCATCTAAAGTGGCTTGTTTTGCTAATTCCACTATTTCATTCATATCGACAGAGTATCCAAAGTCTTCGCTTTTACTTAAATCTGACCAAATGTTCTTTCGTAATCCTTTCAAAGGTCTTCTGTTATTTCATTAAAAGAAAGGTTTTTGTTTTTTTCAGCATTCATGATTTTGTAGTTTTTTCAAACTTCTCTTATTAATTACTTCTCTTCTCTGTCTATTTTTTCCAGCATCTGCTATAATGTTCGCGCTAGTAATAAGCCTTGGTCCAATTTCGGATATATTCGGATGCAGAATTTCAGGTGATCCCCGGGTTGAAATACAAGAGCGCTAAACGAAACCGCGTTAAGCGGAGTCTTACTGTACGAGTATATTGGTTAAATTTTTTGGAAAGCCATTGGTATTAGTAACGGTTTTGTGTTTATTACAATATGTAAAAATTTTTTAAATTCACATAATATATCTTAAAATTCCTTCATTATATATTACACAGTAAAAAACTCTGTTAGATGTTAAATCAATTCGACCAAAGTACAATCGACATATTTGCCTCCAAAATCAAAATATTTGTCTAAGAATTTCAAATCGAGCCTACTAAAAATATTATTTATAAATGTATAAGTACTATGTGAGTTTCTAAAAAATTAAAAACCTAGAAAGCATCCACATTTACTCTTTTTTCAATGCTGTATAAAAATTGTTGGTCAAACTAATAAAACATATTCTATGAGTGCTCAAAATCGAGAAACTATTTTTGTATATATGTTTCTTCTTGAAGATCCGACTTTGATTCAATATTGCATCAGCCATATAAGCGAAAAATGTTATACACCATTGAAATGAGAAGAAAACGTGGATAATACCCATATTTTTACTTTTTTGCGGAGTTTACACTTGATTGGTTCGCAAGGATTCGTAATGTTCATTTTCAAATAGCTGTATGTAAAATATCATTTAATTGAGGTAGCTCCATAAAAAGTAGTTTCACGAAGTCACGAGGTCTGATTGCCAATTGATTAGCCAACTTCTCGAAATGATCCAATGATGACCAAACTTTGGTTTTAATAAAGTTGAATGCATTATATGGCTTGTTAGCCTACATTAACTTAATCTTCCGTATCAAATATTATGTACTGATAGTGCTTTTGGCATATTAACTTCAAACTATACCTTTTACTAAGTGTAGAAATTATGTTTCTGTTTCAGAGCTATCCCTTTAGGAAGTTCTATACCTCTAAAAAAACAGTCATTTATAGCTTAAGTAAATTAGGTTGTGAGGCTGAAAAAATAGTACGCTTACTTTTTAAGAACCAGCCTAATATATAATTATATACAAGTAAATATATTCACACCCATTCGTTACACATCCCAATTAGCTTAAATATGTGTGCATGCCTGTTGCCAACTGTTGAATGTGTGGACATTTTGACATTGTCTGCTTTGACTTTTGAAATGTCATATCAGCTGTGACTTGACAGCTGACATGCGTTGGCTCAAGGCGTGATGCGCACTTGAATAGTGACATATTTATGTCTATTGATATTACAATGACATTGAAAATAAACTTATATTATAACTTAATTATATAATGAAGGAAAAATTGGCAAACGGATATAAATTGTGCCATCCATCTTCTTTATAATATTACTTACGAATTTGCTTGTATAACGTATATTCTATTACTATAAGACTTAATAAACTTCAGTTGATATGTACAGAGAATGTAACTAATATTACATACTGTCCATTTTGTAGTACTCTTATTTGTATTTCATCGGGATTTATTTATAAGCGCTTGGTCAGACTTCACTTTAATAAGTGGACGGCTCTTTACCAGGAACATCTTTACGTTGTGAGCTCATAGTATAGTAAACCCATGAGCGCTGGCCACTGAAAGTATATCTCTGGAACTAGTGCAATTGCTATCTGCGGCTTAGAGAATTTTATTCAAATACTAGTGTGATTAAATTGTCAGGTAACCAAATATGTCAAGAAATCAGAGCGATTTAGTCAGAGAATGTCAATGAATATCTCAAATCATTATCATTCTCTGCTTTAGTTTATTTAAAGCGTAAAGTGTTTTTCTCAGTTAACAATCAAGTGGTGAGTGCCGTTAAGTTGTCAAGTTCCGTTACAGAAAATTTAATGTTTTGTATTTTCAGGAACTAAAAGTCAGCGATGTCCATTGCAGATTTCTTCTTGTAATTTTAAGACCCTCGCCGTAGGTGCCATAGCTTCAATGGTAGATTTTAAGGGGTTACATGGGTTTTACGGCTTTAAAAAGGAAAAAAAAAATGTTTAGTGTCTATGAGATCTCTAGAATATTGTCTCAAATTCTCAAGTTGATCCGAGTAATAGTTTTGAAGATACAGCTTTATAAAATAGAGTGCTCGAGGTCAAACTTTAAAAGTCGGTTGTCAACTGATCGAACTACTCAACCGATCTTAATGAAATTTTACACAGGTCTTCGAGTTATAATTTACAAGATCTAAAACGCAGAATTTTATGGTTCAATTACAAGCATTAAAAAAAAATCGAAAAATGTTCACCATTTTCGTAAAATCATCTGCATAAAATACAAATTTAATTTTTTTTTGTTTTTCCCCACGTCCAATAGCTAGTTTATGGTCCTAATTAAAATGCGTATTATTTTCTTTTCACTTTTAATGATTTTGTAAGAAGTTTTATTGTCAATGCTGAGCTTTTTCCTTGGGACTGTCAGAAATGATCTCGTAATGGCCGAGTTTTGCTTATTTTTTTGACATTTTTGTAAAATATTTATCTCCGGAATATTATTAAGTTTGAAAAAAAAAAATTCTTTTTGTTATATAAAACAAAATTTTTGAAAATACTGAAATCATACGAAGCAAACTTTTCTTTACAAAGTAAAATTTCAAAGAGGACTTCCTTCCGGACTTCTGCGTAAATTAAATGTAAAAAAAATGCTTAGCAACGGTAAAACAAAAGAAAACTTGACAAAACGGTGGAGTTTTACATAAAAAAAGTTATATTTGTCCCAAAGTTTTGAAAAGAAATTAAAATGATTGATGTTTGTAATATTTTTACAGTTATAATCTATCGAAATATGAAAAAAAAGTTTATTTCTCATTAGGTACGCCCCTCAATCAATAGATTATTGGATATCTTTCATTAACAATCGGGAACAACTACTGTTAGAAAAACTCTATAAATATTTTACAATTAACCAGATCAATTTGAACTTTCAACTAGAGGGGTAGTCACGTGCTCAACAAAGCTTGCTATACTGTTCGAAAAAGAGTAAGATCAAAGAGCTTGTCGTTTAATAATATTGCGGGTCTGTCAAGATTAGCCTTTTAATTCCATTTTAGTACTTTTTTCAGTCTTCTTCGGAGCTTCGTTGAACTACAAAATCCACCTAGTAAGATACAAATTGTTGCAACAATTAATAACAACAAAAATATTGCTACAACAAGCCAACTTCGAAGCGCTTATAACTTGACCGCCTTTACGACATGTAACAACAACATCTTTTCAACTTATAAACTCCCTTTCAGACCCATTCGCCACATAGTAAATTGATTTTACACGTAACGCGTCAACGGGCCACACGTACCGCGCATGCGTAATGGCACATCAACCACCGTCCGACCTACGCGCAAGCAGCGTGTAGTCTGTTTACGATGCGCCGACGCTGACGACGTTAGCGCCAATTTCAAAAGAAATGTAGACGCAACAAAAACACACACAAGTCAAATGAGAGCGTTGATTCCTTAACATGCGAAGAACAACAATAAGAAGGAAAACAAAAACTACAACAATAATAATATGCAAACCATCAAAATGACAAACAACAAAGGAGCGCATCAACAAAAAAGTGGGAGCGCATTGGCGGCGACTATGACAACACATGAGACTCCTCAAAAGCGTCGTTTGGCAAGCGCGCTTCACACTGTATGCAACTCCTCCCGATCAGTTAGGCGAAAACACTCGAGCGTTGTGCATGCAACGGTCGCAAATTGTACACCGGAACGACAGGCTGACAAGCGTAGCCAAACCACGCACGGAAGAACAAGAAGAAGAGAAAGATTAAGCAATATAGTACAACTGTATGTACATTCGTAAGCAGATGTGTGGGTTAAGGCGCGGATAAAGCAAATCAAAGTGTGAACTTGAAATCGAAACTCTCGCAGCGTCGCCCTCTGTGACAGAAAGCCGTGGTGTAAGCTCGTGGGCTGGCGGTTTGTCGTTCACTCGTATTGTTGTGGTTGTCTTTTCTTTGTTTCTTATGTGTTTTATTATTTGTATCTCTGGTGCCTCTTGTGTCTCAGACGTGCTGATTAGAATGCGAACGCATTGCCGCCGTTAAAGTCAACAACAAGGCGACGATTTTGCCAAGCTGCGCGCAGAACTCGGCGATTGCGCAAGCGTGAAGCACGGTTTGCGCGGAAATTAATGTTCTTAAAATATTGTCGAACGCATTTGTTGTACACTCGCTAAAAATAAAGTAAAGTAAAGTGGGTGTGTTACTTTGTTGGAGTGGTGTTAATACCTGTATTTGATAGAATTTAAGTGCGCCTAAAGGATTTTGAAACTTTTTAATCGAAAATTGAAATAAAATTAAATAATTGTTGGTTTATTAGAACTTTATGACTATAACATAAAGTATAGTGATACAAATATTCGCAGTGCAACCTCTCAAATCAAAATAAAAATATATATTGTATATATTTAAAAAAAGAACAACACAAAAGCTATAAAAAATAACAAGAAAACAACTTTTACTAAAATTTTTTTATTTTAAAAATATTTCAATGTATGAAAACATTAAGCTAGTTGACTTAGCTGGCTTAAAAAATGCTCTAAACTATACTTTGTGAACTAAGTTCATATACTTTTATGAAACTCACTATATCGCACTGGGAAATTCGCGTCAAGCTTTGGTATCCTGAGAGTGGTGTCGCTAAGAACCAAAACTGGTCTATGGCTTATGGGCCTACCAGACTAACCTAATCTAGCCTATATCACACTGTGTTTATAAGTGACCTTGACTTATAAAGCCAAACTAATATACGTGTCCGCCGTGGTCAAAGAAGCACACTATTACTACGGAGCACCTATACCCGAACCCAATAACAAATCTCTGAACGTTCCTCGGTAAAATGTGTAACAGTAGAGATGCACCGCTAGTTATTCTTATATAAGAACATATTCTGAAGATATCCTTCTATCCCAAATTATGAGTTCTATTAGACTTGCAACGCTTCCCACGCTCAGATTGTTGAAATAAAGTTAGAATATTGCTGACAAAGCTCCCTTACCGAAATACGCTGAATTTATAGAACTGCCAGCTTTTTTCAAGCTTTATGTAAGAAACTATACCAGATGTCAATAAATAGGACAACACATTTTTAATGCTAAACTCATCAAAATTATATACATATGTAAAGCAAAACTTTAAAACTTAAGCTTTGCTTGCAAGCGTGCGAAATATACTTTCTGTAAGACGCTAGAAAAATTAATGAACAAATAATTTTCGAGCAGTAGACTTCAAAATGTTTGATTTTTCGTTAGGGCAGGTTTTTTTATATGGGGTTCCCAAACCCCCGCGCCGCAACCGCAGGGAGTGCGTCTTATCACATTAGCTCGCTTTTAAATGGAAGAATATCCTTGTACTTAGAGGATACTTGGTCTAAGACTAAAAGTGGTGAACTGTGCCTACGCCAATGTAGTAGTAGTAGTATACTTTAAAATACTATAAACAATTGAGAGACTGCATATCATCTCTAAAGCTGTCTTTAATTTCTAGTATAGTTTGTTGGGAAACTCATCTTAGTAAGAAAGAGGACCTCAGCTTTTCAGATGATTCCTTCTTATATATCTTTTAAACAGACTTTTGAAACTGCGACCCTCAAGCAACTCGTCTACGACAACAGCTGACGATTATATGTACTCTACACATGAATATATTTATTATAATATTATAAACAATTTATTTCTTAAAAATATAATGAGAAATTGTTTGAGAGATCATAATGGCTCAGATACCTTAAAAGTTGTTGTTAATACGCAAAACATTGGGTATTGTGGAATCGAACAGACAACTGGCATAAGTTAAATAACTGGCATAATTAAACAAAGATAATATAGAGATATAGTACGAGGAAGGCGTTCAGTGAGATATCCGCAATATATATTGTATTCCACTTTATGAATTTCTGTTTACTTTCACGTGGAAAGTTTTCGATGATCTGAATCGAAAACGACTAAACTAAAAACCTAAAATCGTTGAGCTTAAAATACTCGCACTCGTTTAATTGAAGCGTCGAATATTTAAAAAACTATTAAAATGTTTATGAGTTTAAAGCAATCAAAATTGTAAAGCGTCTTAGATTTGTCGTTTTGATACGCATTAATTCAACAATTATTTGCTTACAACGAGTCAAAAACCTTATAAACGATAAACAAAAACCGTATAAACACATACATGAATGTGAAACACATTTCGCTGGGCGCCTTTGCAACCACCCAACCGCCTCGCGCTCTAACAAGTACACACATATTTGCGCTCATAAGCATGAGTGTTTTCAAAGTCAAACGCATGGGCAGTGCAACGGCGATTTCAGTGGGACGCGTTGACGCGGTTTTTCCTGCGCGGAATACCAAACAACTTCGCCGTTTTGCATTGGCAGCGTTTCGTTTCTATGAAGTTTTTTTGAGAAAAGCATGTTTGTATGCACGCGCACACGCTGGAAGTTTGAGCATGCGTGTGTATGTGTGTGTCCTAATAGCGTTTTGATTTTTTGGAGAGTTAAAAAAATTTTTGATAGTATTCTAAATAATTTATCAACTATGGACCTTTGGGCCCTCTTACTCTCTCTCTCTCTCTGTCTTTATTTTTCATGTGAATGTTTTCAGCTGAACTTTTGTACAAATACAACAAAGGAAGTGTTATAAAAATATATAAAAACTTATATACATATATACACCATACATAAAAAATTTGTCGAAATATAATATAAATATATACATTATTATACAAATATACGAAAGTATTGGCGAAAAGTAAATAATATAGTCTGGAGAAGTGACGAATTGAAGGTTAAGGTGAGTAATCATTTTTATATGAAAAACAATTTGTTTTTTTAATATATGATTTACATATTTGCTAAGTAATCACAATTGTGTCTGAAAAAAAAAAATAAATAACAAAAATGTAAATTTTCTTAAACAATATTCTCAACATTTTATTTTACTTATTTATTTTTTTGTATATTTTTGTTTTAATAAATTATATTTTATATATGTACTTACGTTTATATAATTTGAACATTATTGCATTTATCCGATTTTTCTATTTACTAAGTGGTAACACTTTTTCTTACCTTACTTAACTAATTTGTATTCTTTCGTCACTTCATTTACTTGCCTCGTTGTGGGCTATTTTCGTCAATCGTTTCTACACTTATTCAACGAAAATGCATTTTCTATTCCGATTTTCTTATAAGGAATGCGCACGTATCGAAGAAAGTGTTATTTTTTTTTGAACCAACTAGGTAAAAGTTTCTGTCAGCAGCTTGGTATTTATGGTCTCTATTCATACTGGAAATATTACTCAACAAATTACAAGTGTCTTTTATAATTTATAACCGAAAGAAAGCGAAAGTTGTTACGAACATTTGTTTAATCACACCAGATATGGAAATTCCAAATTAATTTCAAAAATAAAAACACTTGTAGTTGGACAAAAGAAAACGATCACTTAAATTCACAAAAACAAAAGACTGGGTCACTGTGACCCGAGTATATTTATGGTTAGTTCTAAACAAGAAAGAACAGGCTGCACCGAAGTTATAATACTATTCACTGGTGTATTTTCCATATAATAAAAGGGTATAAAAAGATCTGAATCTTGATTTTGATCGGTCAGTTTGTATCGCTTTAGTCTTTCGCTCTGAACAATTCGGAGATCGTAGCGATGTCTCTGACAAAAGTCCATGCCAAATCTCGTGAAGAAATCTTGTCAAGTTAAAAAGTTGTCCATACCAGCACTTGAGTTTGAGTAGTCCGTTTTTATGGCAGCTATATGCTATAGTTGTTCGATTCTGACAATTGAGCAGCTTCTTGGTGAAAAAAAGACGTGTGGAAAATTTCAGATCGACATATCATAAACTGAGGAAGTAGTTCACATATATACAAACGGACAGATGGGCATGAATAAATCAACTTAGCTCATCGCGCATATCATTTATGTATTATACTACTCAGGGGTTTAGACATTTCTTTTGTTACAAACATCGTGGCAAACTTAATACACCCTGTTCAGGATATAATAAGTTAATATAAACTTTTAAAACTCTCTTTGGACTTGCGCTATATACCATAATGAACTTTTCATTTATTCGGTTCCTCTAAAAATGCTCAACAAGCGGAGATCTGCTCGTTTTGTATAGATTTACTGTTCTCCATCCTTATATGAATATTCCCGTTCAATGATGACCTATTTATTTAGTATACCTAGGTTTTTGCAGGTATACCATGACTTGCTTATAGAAAGAATGAAATGTGAGATCTAGTTCTAAATAAACTATTCAAAAAATATAAAGAAATGTCTTTAATGTATGTTTTTAAATAAATGGAATGTCTGCGATTACTCTTTATCTTCTCGAGTAAGTTAAACAACAGAACTAAGGAATAGAAGCCCTATATTAAAGAAACAAACGGTATTCAAAGAACTGCTTATGTGTTCTAATTCTAAGGAAAATTATACTCTATTAACATTTCGTACAAGAACACAGCGAAATGATTTTGTACCACCCAGTATGATCTTAAAAGCTAATGGAAACCTTTCCTGCTACTCATTCACAATAAAAATCATTGTTTGTCAATATTTACCTCTTGATTTTTATGTCAATATACTTCTTTTATGAAAATAAGTTAAGAAGCAATTAATAACAACAACAAAATGACAATAAAAAGAGACGTCTTCACGTGAATCGTAATGATTTTAAAAATAAATGTCAGCGAAGATAAGCAAATACGCAAAAGTAAAATACGCAAAGCGGCGTTAAAGTAAAAGTCCTTGCAGTGCAACGACCTTGAATGAAGGGAAATAATATATTTGATAAGACCCGCAAGCAATATTGACAATGTGCATGAATATTTTTCAAGAGAAAAAATGTATTTCATATTTTTTTGAATTTTAAATTTTATTTATATTCTTTTTAATATATTTTTTTTAATTGTTTTTTGTAATATTTTTTTTCTTTTATTTCAATTTTATTTTCTGGTAGTACTAGTATTTTATTTTATTCTTTTCATTTTCATTCAAAAAATCACCTATTATAACGGCTTTGTTCTAAAGCTTTCGCCAAAAGTATTTACCGGTTCAGCAGCTTTTCGTTCCCACGGGCACATATCATTCTGATTGCGCTTTTATGCACATTATAAGCAAATAATTATCTTGAACACTAATTCTTAATTATATATACTTTGCCTATGTGGCAATTAATGAAATTTATTAGCGGATTTCAATTGCGATTCAAGCAATAACATAACATGTTTGCTACGCCATTTTTAATGGTGTTTAACGGTAGTTAATTTTGCAACCAATCACTTTTTAATATATATAGGTATGTAAGTATTTTCAAAGAAATTAGCGGCAAATGAGATCATTTGACTAGAAAACCGTTAGATTCTAAATGATTTGAAATGCACTGTGTCATGCTTACTAAGTACGCGAGGTACTTCTATGCAAATTATAGAAAAAAACTTATTTGTTCCAATTCTAGTTTTATGAGTTCGCTACGCGGTATATGTTCAAACCCCAGCACATACATAGATGTCACCAAAGTCGTTAATCACGCCATACAATGGTTTTGTTAAAATTACAATTTCGCTTGATCGGAGCACTTCGGCAGCAGACAGCCATCACATTGATACATTTTTCGTGATTTCAACTTAGTGTTAGCGGTTTATGTTTTTATTGTGCTCGCTCTTTTATAAAATAAAACAAAAAAATTAATTTTCGTGAATTTCGGCTGATACGTGCAGAAACCTATTCGATTTATGTTTTTCGGAAATCAATTCTTATCGCCTGTCATTGGCAACGTTGCCATCGCACAATTACCCAACTATTTGGGTGCGTGCGGAATATTTAATTTAATTTGAGTCGAAAACTTTGTTGTTTTAATGTTTGATTGTTTTTAATAATCTTTTTTGTTGCAAATTTATCGTATTCGGTCACCTCATTTGCTAAAAAAATATTTGTAAAATCCCCCAAAAAGTCTTACATAATATTTACTTAGCCGAAGTGCTGCATAGTCCAAAAATTTTTTGTCTGTTTCATTCAATATCTTTCTGTAAATTAATATATAAATTTTTGAACTCACACATGACTGATTTTTAACACTCACCTCGCATGTGCTAGTTATAGCAAGTAAATTTTTCAAATTCTCCATATAATTATTGATATTTAGCACATACAGTGTTCCTAGCTACGTAGGTCAACGAACTGATTAGACAAATTTGGGCATCTAGTTATTTACATATCGTATATTCACCCTCTTATATTATTGTAGTGTACATTTTCTATTCATACGATATAACTTCATAAATATAAATATTGAGAAAATCGTCAAAATATATTTGATGCCTAGTGAATATGTACAGCTTAAAAACATAAGCTTACGTAATAGTCCCCGACTTTTTAATTAAAACCCATACTCTCTGGTCATGTATTTTAAAAAATTATTTATTTGAGATAACTCGGAATAACTCCTCGAACATCAAATATAGATTTAAGAACTCACATTGTTGTAATTTTGTTCCACAGAGAATCACATAGAATATCTGAAAACCCTCCTTCGAAACATAGAACATATTTCTTTCTAATTAGAAACATATTAAAACTCACCTTCGAAATCGTATCAACTCACATCTCCAATCTACCACATTTCAGGCCACAATCATCGATTATGATTTTTTGGTCTACCAAATTCCTCATGAGGTGACCTCATATAAGAAACATCTAAGTGGCAGATTCTCTAGTCTATATATATCTACAATACTTAGTCTTTTAAAAAATTCTTTTACAAATTTTCACTGTTGGAGAAGTTTTTAATAAGCAAAACGACAAAATCTACGCACAAATACTTTAAAGACGAAAAAAATATTATTCTAAGGGATAAACGTGGTCCATGCAGTAATGGTTTAGTGAGGAATCTCATGTAAAGGCTTACACTTCTGTGAAAAAAGTGTTAAAATTGGGACAAAAGTGAACCAGCAGCGTATTTAAGAAGGCGTGGTAAAAAGTTAAGCACTACTCGCTTCGATGGAGAGCATTTGATCTTCTACCAAGATTCTGCTTCAGCAAACAAGGCACAAAAGATTCAGCAGTGGCTTAAAAATAATATTCCTGGTCCTTGTCAAACGAAAATTATATATTTTTATTTTTATACATTATACGTACGTAAGTCTCTTATTATTTATTTGTATATGACAAAAATCTAAAAATCAAGAGAAAGATTACAATAAAATTTGTTGGTACTTACTATTTGTCAAAGTCAAATATGTAAGAGAAACGAGCTGAATGAAATTTAAAAGTCAAAGAATACACTCTCTAGTTGCACCAAATTCTCAACTTTGAAAGCTCTTAAAGATATCATACAGTGGTTACAGAAGGAGATCAAAAGGGCAGTTGTGGGAACCAAATTTGAACACTTGAAAATAACTTTATCGAAATTGGATCCTCCAACAATACGCTTTTTAAAACCGAATATACAATACGGGTATTAGGAAGACAAATTTCTCGGCAGTTGATATGAGCTATAGAATTATTCTCACAGGGTTATGATCCATCCATATATGGACATCAAAAAATCCAGAGTTACGATTTAAATTCATTTATTTTCAATTTAATTTCCGCTAAGGAAATTATTTATGTCTTAGAAAGTGCCGCACTATCACTTAGCAGGACCAGGGATCGATTTCAGTTTACGACCAACCGCTGTAACAGAAAAATACGAAATTCAGAACAAACTTACTTTCCCATATGAACTCAGAATTCTAATGAACGCTAATTAGGCACAAGTATTCGATTGTTTTGT